TCTTTCATAAACTTCATAAGATAGTATCCATACTCACAGCCTTGTAATTATGTAGGTACCTATAAAACTATAAAAGATGTCATTATCAAAATATGGTAAAAATGAATTTTAACTTAATTTAAAATCCTTTAGGGATGAAGTTATATATATAATACAAGTATTTGTTGTCAAAAATCTGATAGAGCCTCCCTTATAACTTAGACGTTCCAAAATTTTTCAAAAATTCTACATCAATCAAGAACGGCACATACAGAATAACAAACATAAAATATTAATCGAACAATCATTTAGATACATACCAACTTTTTTTATTAAAAAAATACAAACCTTTATTCTTTTTCATATATAAAACTCAACAGGATCAGGCCTTTTAGTGTTTGGATGGAAACCTTCACCATCTCGATAACGTGCTACATTCCTATAATGATTAAACATACTAAGTAAAAATTAATTATTATAATAAATATATATATATATATAAAGAATATAGAAATAAAAACTTATTGATTAAATAGTATCCTCATAGATTTATAGTTCTTAAAGTTATTATCTCTTAATGAGTCAAGGTAATAAATCATAGGGAGGAATGGATTGATACAAACAAATACCCGATGTTGCCTAAAAAAATAAAATATTTCATTAACGAAAATGTCAACTAAATTTAAAGATGAATAATAATAACAACTTACCCTAGATTGTGAGGAGCTAAAAATAATATGTTTCTCTTGCCTTTGGCTTTGAATGCATCATTAATTTTTTGAGAATGATACTCAACAATGTAGGTACTAGTGCTATGATGGTTAATAAATGAAAATTTTGCTATCATTAAGCCCGACACCACAAAAATATGATACAAGTACCTAAAATGAAAAACAATAAGAACATTCACAACTAATATTAAATAAATACCATCATAAAAAATAAAATTTAGAAAATACTTGATGTATAAATTAATTTGTATGGTTTGTAGCCAATCCTTAGTTAGAATCTCATTAATATTTTTAGCTGCTAATTTTTCGCTAATCATTTCACCATAAATCTCCTTTTCAAATTCTACTTCATGAATTTTATTTTTAAATGTTGTCTGCATAATTATTTCAAGTGTTTTTTGATGAGGATATTTCAGTTGAGTAGATTTTGAACCGGTCTTTCCTACGTTAGTTACAGAGGTAGATCCTTTTGAGGGATTTCCTTTCACCTTGATTGGCTTATTTACTATTTTTTTAGATTTTGAGGACTATAAAATGTAAAATTAATTAGTAAGACTGAAAGAAAACATTAATAATTTTGAAGAACCACAAATTATTATACCTATAACTCAATGAGCCTTGTAGGCCAAGCCATGTAAGTTGCAACATCATCAAAAATCGTGAATATATCCTTATCTTCTACTTGCACTAGCAGCTCAACATAATTTTTTATTGAAATAATTATAGTCACCTTTAAGTAATCACAGGCAATGGCTTAGAGTATATAATAACACTATTATTTTTATGCACAGCTCCAAGTGTATATATGTGTGTGTGTTGTTATTACAACTATAAATGTGTGTTATTATCACAGCCAAACAAAAATACTTCCAGATAAAGACTAACTAATAAAACACACATATATATAATTAATCCTAATTTTTATATATAATTTTTATTTAAAAAAACCTTATGTAGGTGCAAGGCGACGAGTGTGCGACGATGTGTGTTTGGCAGCGGTGAGGGGCAGTGTGGCGTAAGGCTTATTAGAGACGAGCAACAGCGTGGCGATGAGAGGCACGTAGTGAGGCGGCGTGGCATGGGCAGTAGCATAGCGCCAAGTGAGTTTTGGCAAGAGAGACAGATCCAAGGTGTTCAGATCTGCGAGTCTGGGTGGCGCAAACGGTGAAGCATGCAGTAGCTCTCCACAGATCGATGAGTTTTGGTGGCACGGACGGCCAAGCTGCAATAGATTGGCTCATTCGACAGAGATGATTGTTGGACAGAGAGGTCGCGACCGTGAGACAGGAATGGCAAAAACCGAGCGAGCAACACTAAATTTAAGTCACCAGATAGATGTGTCACAACTTAAAATTTTTTTTATTAACCCTTCGTAGTGCTCAAGACTTAACTTTTAGGAGCGCTCAATTAAAGAACAGTTCAAAAGACGTGTTTTTTTTTCAATTCTTTTAAAAAACTTTTTTAAAGTGCTCTTCTATAGAATGCTCTAAAATGATAAGCTTTTAAGAAAGTTTTTAAAATTTTGGTTTATTGTTTTTATTTTTTTTTAACTTTTTAAGAGTGCTCTATAAAATAGCACTCTGAAATGATAAACCTTTAGGAGTGCTCATTTTGAGTGCTCCTAAAGGTTTGCTTTTTTTTAATTTTATTTAAAATATTTTCAAAGTGCTTTATATATGAGCGCTCCAAAATATATATCTTTAGAAGCACTCCTAAATGCATGACGTAATTTTTGTTTTTATTTTTTTAATCTTTATTATCGGAATGCTCTTTTTGAGTGTGCTCCAAAATGTTTTTTAAAAATATTTTTTAAAATTTTTATTTTTGAATTTTAGGAGCGCTTTTTGAAATGAGCGTTCTTAAATAGCAACATACCAAAGCACTTATTTAAATTCACTTCTATTTTTAATAGTGCTTTTTCCATAGGCACTCCGAAAGACGCACTCTTAAAGATATTTTTTATAGTAGTGGGAAATACATAGTAAAAATGCTAAAAGTATTAATAGATGTCAGTGATTGATTGTTCAGTGAAGCTTCTTTTCTCTACGTGACTTTCTCTTCTTTTTATAGCGATTCAATTGAGACAGTTGTCCCCATCAAATCCAAAGCCCGTTTGTGAAATATTAGGGATTTAATAGCATGGCCCACAAGATTTATGGCATAATACATCATATCTCCTTAATGGTCTCATACGTCTATCATGAGTCTTAAAGGTTAAGTTAAGCTCATGCATGGCATGTTCTTATTTACAACGTGTAATTGCCAGCTTGTGTCCTTGAAATATCCATAGATGAGGGTCATGATCTTGTGTGATTCAAGGCTCGTTGAGATCAGGGTCTTGTGTGAGGCAATGGTTTAGATAGTGGTATTGAGTTTTGAGGAATTCAAAGACTTGAGTTGACTTAATCAAATTATTTTATCATGATGTGTATTGGCCTTATCATTATTGGTTATCTTGCTAAGCGTGATGCTTCCTTCACTCGACCTATTTCATGCTATAACCATTGCATCCTTTTGAATAACTGTCATTTTAAATTTAGCCTAAACAAAATTATTAGAGGGACCGGGAATAACCAACAAAAAAATTACATAAACCTATATCAAAATAGGTTAAAATTATAGGAACTAAAACTTTTAATTCTTCTTTAAAAAAAAAACGCAGGCCGAGCCATGTATGCGAGATTGGGAATATTATCATGTTACGTATTCAATTTGTCCCAGTTTCTATACAGATCAATTTTTACAAATTAAAAGCCTCAACTCTAGTGCTTGTTCGGTACATCATTTGCCAGCCCAAAATCTGAATTGTGACTCCAAAAAGCTAGTTGGTTGTAAGTTATCATGTTTGGATTATCATTAGACCGAATGACTTTTTCAACCAAAACTTAAATTAGAGCAAAACATTTTGGTTTAATTCATTTAGAAATACTTGGAATGTACCCCCAAAAAAAAAGGAGACTTGAAAAATGTAGGAGGAATATTAGAAAAAGAATTCCCAGATCTAACAATTAGAAAATAGATTAGATGCTTATAGAACATGCAATGCATAATAAGTATTGATTGGTCTCATTTTGTGAAGTAAACAAACTCTCAAGCATAATTGATGTGGAAAATGAGGCAAATTGATACTCATCTTTTTTTCACAGGTATTATTGGAATTGTAAAATTAATTACCTCTTTTTCAATATTTTTTTCTATCTAGTAAAAAAAGAGAAATTATTTTTAGGGTAAAATACAATGACCTCTCCTTCATTCTGCTAAACTTACAAAGACCTCCTCTCTATTTTCAAAACATAACACTTTAACCGAACTTTTAACACTGTTAGGAATTTTCCATTAAAAATTCTAAAGTACTTTTTTTTATTTTTAACTATGTTAAAAATTTTAAAATTATTAATTTTCCCTTATGATCTAATAGCTTACTCTCTCTCCCAATTTTAAAAAAACTTCAATAATTAAACATGTTAATATTTAAATGAATAATTTAAAAAATTGTATTAAAATTAATGAAATTTAAAGAAAAATAAAAATAAATTATATTGAATAATTTATTATATTAAATTATTATTTCATAATTTTCACTCCATGTTGTATATTATTTTGGCCAATTTATATATTTAATTTTTTAAAATAGAAAAGTAAAAATATATGCATTCATTTTTGGGTAATTTGAATGACTTTTTGAGAATATTTATATTTAAAAAGGGGCATTTTATTTGGTTTAATATATGTAACATAACAGTCAACTAACACTCGCATGAATGGAAATTAAATCTTAAAAATAGATAAAATATTTGTCTTTCATAAGTATTCATAAAAGGAGAGGTTCATATATGTTTTAAAAATAGAAGAGAAGTATCTATAATTAAGGTGAAAAAAATTTGAGGTTTGAGTATTTTACTCTTATTTTTATACCCTTTTCTTTCTCTTTATTTTCTCTTCTATTTTATCTCATTGTCTAAACAAGGGCATTGAACTTAGAATTCCTTGAAGAAACTTCAAATAAAATGAAAAGGAAAATAAATAAAATAGAGGTCATCAGTTTTTCCCCTTATTACCAACTTTTTTACCCCAAAAGCGGAGTAATTTCAAGGATTTAACCAAATTGAGTCTGCATATATGCGTAGCATGTACTTTGTTATATGGGTTTGAATTCTATTGTTGTTTTGTTAGAAACATTTTTTTAAAAAAAAAAATTAATGTTCTTAATTAGAAAAAATATGAACTGTTGAAACCGTTCAAATGATAATATAACACGTGGAGACATGTAAAGGATTTATACTCGTCCTTCTATATATGTCATGGGGGTGACAATTAATTGAATTCATTCCAGCTTTGTGCGAGTGGCGGATATGAGAAAATTTACGGGGTTGAAATAAAAATGTAGTTGCAGATTTAAAAGGAAAAAAAAAAAGGAGAGAATATTGAGTGAGCATTTATTTAGTTTGCAGAAGAGGCATCTGGAACCGCAGGCAGAGTTACAATTGGCCGAGAGCGGACATGTTGGGAATTTCATGGAAGAGAGAATGGGAGGAAATAAGGCGTCGGGTTAGCAGTTGAGGAGGTTGGAAACGGAAAGAGGAGTCAGACATTGGAACCAGGGACTGTTTAACTGAGCCCAAGAGGGGTCTTGGGTCCACCCAGTGTTCATGGGTAACTGCAACTCCGGAAGGTTCAGCCCAGGATCCGCCGTCTCTTCCACCGGTTCATTCTTCGGTCGGAGCGTCGGCACGGACGACGACGACGACTCCTCGCATCGCGATGCCCTCTCTTCCAGCTCCTTCAACGACGTAGCCTTGCGGTAGATCTTGCACAGCACTACGGCGTCCTGCAGGAGCAGTATCGTGAGATGATCGAGTTGTAGGGTGATTTAATTGAATGGAAGCGGGAAGTGAATGAGAATGAGAATGAGAATGAGAACGATGATGATACCTTGTTAGGGAAGGTGAAAGTGTCCGGGAGGCGGAACTCGTTCATGACCCAATCGGTCTTGCGGCCGCGGGGAGCTCTTCCCTGGTAGAAGACAAGAGTCTTGCGGAGGCCGATGAGGCGCTTGTGGTGGGAGAAGCTGAGGATCTTGCGGTCGGAGCCGGTGGCTTTCCAGAAGCCCTTCTGGGTGGTGCGGTTGGGCCGGGCGGCGCTTCCCTGCTTCTTGTCTCTGGGCACGAAGAAGTACCACTCTCTCTCTCCCACCCTGGCCATGCCGGGCAGGTCCCAGGGCTCGTGCTGATAGATATTCACCAGATCGATGATGTCCAGGCACAATTTGTTTCCGCCGATCATATTCTTCAGATAGAAGTCCACCAGTTCTTCCTCCGTGGGGTGAAACCGGAAGCCCGGCAGTTGTATGTCGCCCATATTCCTGTCTCTTTTGTTTTTGTATGGATCCCAGCTGGGTATTGCTGCCATTGCCATGCAAAAGAGAAAGGAGCATTATTTATAACTCAAATGGGGCTGACCTGGTCTCCCACTCGGTGGGACCAACCTCCGAATTAAACATTTGATTTCACTTTATTTCTTAAATTTAGGTGATCTAAATTCCTGAAACAAGAAACAACGGAAGTGAAGGAAGCGGCCAGAGGAAGAAAGTGAGACGAGGAGCTGGGGTCCACGCGGCTTTTGATCTTCTTTACGACTTCTACTCCTTCGCCAAATTCCTCTTACCTTCTTTCAAATCTGGATCCTTCATTCCTATTTCAAGCTCCCTCCCCCCCTCCCTCCCTCTTATTCCACCGTCTTTATCCAATCACATTTTGCTCTCTTCAATCTTCATTTCTTCCTTCTCCATTGTCTCACTTTAACTTCGTATCAATTTTCACTAACATAGTGTTTGAATGGATAGATTTGTATTTGAATTTTAAATTTTAAATTTCATATTTAAAATTCATGTGTTTAAAATTATTTGTTTGAATAGTTTTAAAAAAATCAAATAAAAAAAAGGGACAAGTTAAGATTTTAAGATTCAAAGTGAAAATGAAAAATTATAAGTAATGAATTTACTTTCATCTTTTAATCGATGAGAAATGAGAACGAGATATAAAAAAAGAGATGAGAATGAGATATGAAAAAAGATGAGAGTCATAGGTATATTAATAGTAAAAATATAAAGAGAATACGATATTTAAAGTGATTGAAATTTAATATGATTAAGGTATTTTGAATCTATTATAATTCATAGGATCTACTTGCAATCTTTCTCTATGAGACTTAAGATGTAATGATAAATTTATCAAATAAAGTTGCCTCTGTTTAATTTGGTAACTATATTAATTATTTTTTAAAAATTGATCTTAGATATTATTATTATCTTTTCTAGGCCTTGGCTCTTTTGGACTTGCTCATTTATCAATTATGGACATTTCTTTGAAATCTTTAAAAATATTATGCTTTTGTCCCCAAAAAAATCTTAAATTAAGATTTGTAAAGAAAATTTAAAATTACAAAGAAAATATAATAAAAAATGGATTTACTTTGAATCAAATCCAAATTCATAAATTGTTATGTATTTAAATCCTTATCAAACGCATTAGCTATAAATACATTATAAAAACGTATAGTAACACACAATCATTCTATTATGTAACTCTAAGATTTCTTCTTTTTTCGTTCTTCCAATCTTATATTTAACAAGAACTAAGGGCGAAACCCACTGTAATATTTTGGTAATATAATCTTATCCATACCTCTCTAGAATTTCCTTGTTAAGATTGCTCTTGACTTGGTCGCGTTCTTTTTCACATATAGTCTTTTCCAACGGCACAAAAATGGGCAAAAAAAAAAAAAAATTGGTCTGCAAAAAGAGTCAAAGAACAGGAAGGTTCAATTGCTACATATGTACAACGCGTCAAAGTTCCATAGAGTCTTGGTAAGATTCCGTTCAAAGCCTGCATTCCACTTTCTCAGACATTTTAATTTAAATACATGAAAAAAAAAGGGATTATTATTGGGAATCCAGTATTAGGAGAATTTCCCAGCTATGGAACTCAGCTTTTTTAAGTATCCCATGCTAATCAACTACTCCGGTCTGCGGTGTTGAACCCCAAAATAAACATCCACACAATTTACCGCATTGAAATTAATTAAACATCAATTAAGAGATGACTTATGAATAATGTTTATATATCTATGTTGTTTTCTTTCGCTTATACATTTTTGCCAATTTTCATCTTACTATGCATATGCGACACATTTGTTTTTATCGAACTTTTTCTTCCAAAATTTCCAATTCTTCAATTAATATGTTTTCCCTCAAGTCACACTTTTTTCCAAGTCCCACTAGTGCAGAATTTATCTTTTAGAGGGGACTTTTAATAGTAAACAAATCTCAAATATAATATACATGGCGGTCGTTGTTGCAGCTGAGGAGGTAACAAATGGACGAAATGACCATTATAAAATAAGCGTAACTTAAATAATAAAGGAGAAGATTAAATATCAATCATTATTTGAATGCGGAATGAAATTATAAAAGGATGGTTACGTGACATTATAATAAGCTGAGGGCAGTATCGTCAAACTGAGTGACCACAGGGAACGAAGAATATATTGGTTTTTCTTTAATTTGTCCAGATATACATATCCGTATTTGATGATTGTGAAGTGTGAACTCAAAAGCAACTATACGCGTTGGCCACAATATTATTTTCATATCATGGAAAAATTGTTGTTGTTTTATTATTTTGGAACAATATCTAACATCTAGCAAGCATTGTTAATGAAGTAATTCAGCCCAATAAAAGATATCTCTTAGCATGCATGGTCTTTTCTATGGAATTACCAGATTTGAACTCCAGATCTTAGATCTCACTCATCTTATTTAAGAGAAGGCATTGAATACCTTTTCAGACAACGCAATTCACTGTATGAGTATCGTTAATATGAAAAGAAGAAGAGAGAACAACGTCACGTCCAAATGGGCGGTTTTGCACGATAGCGACAACACGGAACAGCTGACTTGGAAGTCATGTGAAGACCCAAAACAAGTCTCTCTTCCTCTCAAAAGACTTTGGAATTCTGATTTCTTCCAGTTTGTCCCTTCAACTTATTCATCAAAGTCTTCCAATCTCGTTATTTTCCTTGTATCTGTTTATATATATGCTACTTCCTCGAAAGTCCTCCTTTCCTTTTCCATTATTCTATTTTTTGCTGAACTGGCATTCAACAATTATTACACTGGCAACCAGTAATGCAATTTCCCATTTTTGTTAATGATTTTTTCTTTCCAGTTTATAATACTATTAATATTAATATAAGTGTTTATATACTGGGCTATACTGATTACAATTCGTGAACTCTGTAATTTATTTTTTCAAGTTCTATGTGACGTATAGATGAGTATACCTAATATCTATTTTTTTTATCATATAATTACAAAATAACTAAAGAGAAAACTAATGTCCCATTTGGCATGTTGGAAATGGTTTCAGAAATAAAAATAGATATGAAAGTGGAGATGTACATGGAAATGAAAATGGATATGGGTTTTAAAAATATGTTTGGTATGTTTATGGAATTGGGAGATGTTTTTATTCAATATTAATGTTTAAAATATGAAAAGACAAAAATTCGCTCATCCTAAAAGAAAAAATCTCCTACCCACAGATTGGAGAATGAACCACTAAAACATGGAATCGAAGATCCAACCCAGACGAACAATTTTGAAGAAGATAAAATCAACAATCTACAAGCTAGAAATCAAACGCGATATATAAAAGCAGAAGAAGATAAAATTTGTCATTGATATCCAGCAAGATGCAGTGGGACACCCCTTGTAACCCACATCAAAGCACAAATCTTTTGCCATATACAAAAATGGCAACCTAGATCTAAGATTGAAGCAATATTGCTCTCAATCTCCCTCAAGTTTGCTCCGTCTCAATCTCAGCAAATCAGAAGTTGGGTTCTTAGTCACCTTCCAGCTTTAGCCATAAAGTCGGAGGTTGCTATCACTGGAAGAGGAAGAGTCGCAATTGATTTTCGCCATTAATGGAGGTTGCCATAGCTAGAGGTCGCTCGTAGTCATTATCTTAGAGCCGGAGGTCGCAGTTGCTTGGTGATAGAGGTCACCGAATTTGAAAATAGAGGTCGCTGGAGGTTACTATTGCTAGGTGTTGAGAAGGTTGATGGAAAGTTGAGAGGAGAGGGAAAGGAAAGGGTAAAAAATTAAAAAAAGGGAAAATGAAATTTGAAAACCAAGTATTTTTTATGAAATCTAATTCCATCAATTTTGGCAGGATTGAGTTTTATATGAAATTGATTATTAGCACACCAAATTAACTATTTTTTTTAATTTCATTTCCATCTTCAACTCCAAAGCTAAAATTTTAGTGTACCAAATGGGACCTAAGTTAGCCATAACAATGGACTTGTCTATCAAATCAAGCCATCATTCAAGATATTCAATTTGGCTTCTCTTCATTTATTTTCTCCCCACTTTCTCTCCACTTAACATCCCAACTTTTGGATCAATTTTTGAATAGTTAGGATTTAACATCTTATAAATTGAAATTTTTTATTTTTAAACTACAATCCTAAAGTTTGAATTGTAATTTAAATCAAATTTGCTATATTTTAAATTTATTTACTTTTCATAATTTCACATTTTAATAATAATTTTGTGAAATACTAAGTCGTTACTACTCAAAATTTAATCCAAATATTGAGATGATAAATGAAGAGGAAGTGGAAAGAAAATAAATGGAAAGAAATCAAGTCCCAAAATATCCATGTGAACTAGATGTGCACAAGTGTTATTTTCAGGACACAGAGACATTAAAGAGGTTACCTCCAATGTTAAGAAACAGAAATCACGTATATATGGGACGCATATAAGAAAATGCGATGCTTACAATAATATAATGATGATGGTGATAACCATGACAATAATAATTTATATAGCTTAACTGCTTTAGTCACTTTCACTGTAAATATTTTATTTTAAATAGTATGAATTGTTAAATTAATTTTAAAAACACAATGCAAATTGTCCTGGGTCCATATGCCGTGTCTTTCCCGTCTTGGCGTATGACAAATTGCAAAAAATGATGATTTTGTTCTAAGCCAGGTGATTTTACAAACCAAACCAGTTGGATGTTTTGTACTATTTAAGGAGTCGCACGGACCTTGAAAAAATAAGATCAAAACAAACTTTGAATTGGAAAATAGGGGCTGCCACACGCTGCAGTCACAAAAGATGTAGGGACAAAAAAAGAAAAAAATGATAATTAGAGACCTATTAAAGACATTAATGATAGTCGAAGACCTCAAATTATCAAAATTCAAAATATTATGGAAGGATTACAATCTTTATTTGTAATTAAAAACTAAATAATTATTAAAATAACTAATGAGATGTGACTCATGAATTTAAGTAAAGTTATTTGTAAATTTAAGTAATATCACTTATGAATCAATGAAAAGTTAATTATAAATGAATAAATAATTTTATAAATTTATGTATAATCACTAATGAATTGGGATATTCTGAAAAATTTATGAAAGTGAATAGTGAATTTATGAAACTTGAACCATGGATGAATATATATAGTTTCATGAATTCATGCATAAATTTAGAGATAGTCAGT